CAGATATTTTGGTGACAAACCAGAGCAAGTTGTATGCCCATCAGAGTGCTCTAGTAACAGGGTGGCATAGATGCAGGGTTAGTGGTGCTGCACTGTCAAGTAACTTTTTAAAGTGAGAAATGAACAGGGGACTAAATCACACCATAAAGTGAGCTGCCAGCCTATGGCTGACCACCAACATAAATGATAAATAAATTAGTCTTTGCTCTATAAAGATGTTATAGTAGAGCTCCACAAATCGTAAGTGTATTCGGAATACTTCATGAGGAAAGGTTGCATATAACTGAGAAACATATGCCTGTTTTAAGCTAATAGTCATTTTTATGAACAAAAATAGGGGAATATTCAAGCCTATGAATGTCACAACATGCTCCTTTTTTTTCTAGGAAAAAGGGTACCTATTACGCAAATATAAAAATGAAGGTTTTTTTGTCTGATCTGCTCAGTTGTCTCCTTACTGTAAATAATTTAAGACAAGTAAATAGAAAAATCAACTTTCTGAAATCAGAACACAATGCATTGATGTACAGTTCCAAAAGGAAATTTTGATTTGCAAAATCAAAGCTGATAATTCTGTCTTCACAGGATAATAAAACCAAAACCTGGCCTCCTAAGGCCCCTTGGCAGCATTCTTCATCCATTACAAACACACTGCCCAATCAGAGTACATCTTTGTATCAGATGAGTAATCCAGTCAGTCAGTGGAATGACACAATGCAGATTTTACAGTCACCAGTTTGGTCTACAGCCAATGACTGTGCTCCATCTACAGGGATTTCCTCCAATTTTGCCTATGCTCAGCAGCAACACTCACCCCAGCAGCAGACTTCCCAGCACAAACAGCTGAATAAGGGCTTTAAATCTTTTCCAGTAAAGCACGAACGCAGACCATCTTACCTGCATCAATACTAACTGCTTTTTTATATTGGAAAGATGCATCATAGGGCCAAACAGTCTTATAAATTATGTATATTATCTTTGTTTCCTCTTTGTGTATTGGCAGTGTTCTGGTTCTTTTATTATATGTGGAGTGAAAACTTTATGGTGATGTACATAGGTTTTAAATTTTTACAGTGCTGAGCAAACAGCCAATATATTTGTTAAATGTACATGAAACAGCCCAAAACTGTGATGCAAAACACTTTTAAAATGTGTATATTACCATTACTTTTCAAACCCCCTTTTTTAAAAAAAATTGCCAAGACTACCATGCAAGACACTGTATTTTATAGCTATTTTCATATAGATTTATAGTTAAACATCTGCTAAAATGCATTGACTTTTTAAGCAAATATAGTGGTTGCTTTTGCTCAACGCTGTTCTTGTTTAGATTTATAATGGACAAGTTGTAGTCTTTGTATTCTAAGTAAACCGCCTGTGACAACTTTTTTAGTGAAGTGGGGCAGCAGCTTTTAACATGCCATACAAGTGGGTTTGTTACAGCAGTGTTGCAGTCATTTCATTAATGTAAATATAGAGCAGCTGGAATCACTCAAACTTGTGTTTCAAATGTTTTCTTGGCTGCCAAAGGTAGATGGTATCTGTGTGGATATGACTATGCTGATTTTCAAATACACAATTTGATACTTCTACATTTGGCCAAAGGCATTACCCCCACAGTGCTCCTTAAATGTGTGAAACTATAGCTAAGGCTACTTGCATATATTTAAAGTCTTATTTCAGATGCTACAGTTAGAGTAAAAATTGTGAGCTGGCTCAGAAGAGAAACTAGAATTAAAATGTGGGTAGCAGATACTTAAAAGAATATTATGTGCCATTACAAAGTTTAACCTGTGGAATTTGGAATAACCTTCCAACCAAAGTGGATCCAGCAGTGTGTGACTGGTGCTTAAATTGAAGGAAAAAAAAAAAAAGGTAAATATATATGTATAGTTATCCCATTGTATATTAATTGATGTTACAGAAGATTCTTTATATAGTTAAAGCTTATTTAAAATTTTCATATTTCATCTTTAAAAGAGTAATTAAATCATAATATTTTCTGGTATAAAGTTGACAGTATTAATCTTATTTTTATATTTTCTTAAATCATTATACCATTCTAATATGTTAACTACTAGTAAAGTGGGGTTTTAGTTCTAACTACATAGAAAAAATTTTCCGTGAAGATAAAAGTACATTTATGTTCCCATTTTTCTACAAACTAAGTACATCTATATCTAAAGATACCAAAAAATAAAAATATATATATATATATATAAAAAAAATATACAACACTAATACTATTAAACATTTGGGCGTTTAAAACCCATTCACTCCTTTTGTTTGTATGGTGATGGGCTGTAGTTGCAGGCCCAGAATGTTACCTTTTGTGCTGTTTAAGGATGCCAATGTTGCCTGTATTTGATATACTGTCACCATGTTTTCTGAAAATTCATACTTACCATGTTTACAGAGAATTGTTTGCTGTACATAGACTTTTTACAGTAATGTGCTTTGCACAATCAGCGTGGCTTTTGTCTGTAAATTGTTAACGTTCTGTACTATTTTACTTTTGAAAACCCTCTGCTGAAAGTACTAGTCGTTATTTAGCTTGACAAATGGTTTGAAGTTTCCTAAAGCTTGACAATATTTGATCCTAAATTTGGTTGTATTTATGTCCCATGATTATTCATACTAAAACCAAAATGCAAATTAGGTTTATTTATAACTTTGAACTTTTCCTAACCAGTGCCAAAACTGTTGCTGCAGTTTTTGTAATTTACTGTTAATTACAAATACTGAAAGTTTCTAAACTTAATCCAAGTGAATTGTGGAAACAAAATTGAAACCATTTCTGTGTCTGCATTTTGACCATGTAGGTGCTATGTCCTGTGCTGCCGATTGTTCTGAACACTGGTAATTTTTAACATTGTTGCACTTGGCAAACAAGTCTTGCCATAAAATCTGTTTATCATTACACTGCCAAGTGCAAGGGTTTGGTGCTTAGTTAACTTACCCTTATTGCAGTGCTTCTTGTGAATAGCTAATGCTTCTGAACTGGAACTGAACATTTTGTATTTTACTTTTAAAGCGCCTGAAAGTAAAACCTATTTGCTTTATTAAAGATATACATTTAATAATAGGTCATACCTGTTTGAAATATGCTCCCGCCTGAAAATGAACAGCGTCTTACTTAAGATGTAACAAATTTGTAAATGAAAAGATATTGAGGAATATTAATATAAAAAATTGTCTACTTAATGACTTTTTAAATGAGTTGTCTGCACAGTAGAATCTGATATCAAATTTCCCCATAATCCTTATTTTAGGGCTACTTTACCACTAGGATGGAGTGTATAGCACCACTATTAATGCTCCTTCATTGGCAGTTAGTAATACACACTATTGCTTCTCAGCAACTTTCCTTCTCGACAACTCATACCCATAATTCAGCTTCTGGTGGTGAACATTTTGCACTCTTGCAACTGTTATACAGGCTAAGTCACTTTCCTTATGTACTGTTCACAAATCTATGAATGACTAATTACCTTTGCTTTTGGACAAAAGTATGGTATGGTGCCATTTCGTTTAAGTTACCCTAACTGTGTGACTGGAATACAAAAATCTGAACTGTGCAAATGAAAAAGCTTGTTACCTGCATCTTTTTTTTGCCAACAATGAAATAGGTGTACATGACAACTCATTCTAAGGAGAAAAGCTGCTAAAAGGAATGAATTCAGAGATGCTTGTTACCAGATTTTATTATAAAATATCTAACACATTTTCAAGCAAGTTAAAGTAATACTTTAATGTGACATTACTGAAACAATGAGTATTCTCTTATAAAATATTTAAATGCAGATATTAAACTCATTTGCTTAGTGTTTTCCATAAACAGATATCTACATACTATTTCTGAAAAAGTTTAAATTACTTATTTCCTTAATTAATCTGTTTTCAAGACAAAAGTCAGCTGTTCCTTTTGTTAGAAAATTAGAAGCCTAAACTCAGAATATTTGATTAAACTTTCATGTTTGGGAGGGAACCAACTACTCGAGCCAGTTCCATACTTTGAAATCCCATTTACATTTGTCTACACGTAGTAAAGTAGGTTTCCTCTTACTTACTTGTTGCATGAGTAGTGTTTCATACTAATCCCAAAAGTGCTTATGCTTACTGGGAAGAGCTTCAGTTCAATCTGCATAGTATCACATTGCAATCGTATGTGCAGCCAGATCAGTCCCTGTATTGTATCTGACAAATTCCTGACCCTGCATTTTTGCCATCTTGGAGTCTTGCAAAAATAAGATTTTTACAATAGTGAAAGTATTTTAATTTAAAATCATAAAATTATTGAAACAGGTGCATACTTAACCTATGATGTAGCAAACAGCATTATGCTCAGTCTTGTAGATTAAACTATTAATTAGAGCCAAGTGTCAGTTATACAGCCAACTGAGATCCAAGTCTGAATCCCGTTCCAGGATACCTGGCCCATGAAGACATTCTCCGAGGGAAAGATGGGATGCACTGGGGAGGAATAAATGACTTCTGATTTCTGCAGTGCCCATCTATCGGCAAAGCAAGTCAAATACAATTATACCAGTTTTACTGTGGAATTTGTAAATTCACAAATAGGAAATGAGTTGTAGACACACTTGGTTTAACCAAGAGGAGGGAGGAATGGCAAACTTAAACGGTTTGCTTGTCTTTCAGGTCCCTGACAACAATTCTCTAAAGTGAGTATTGTAACTAGACGCATTCTTGAGAACTACAGTATGCCCTATAAACCTGTGACAAGTGAGTGGAAGAGGGATAGGACACTAAGGGAGACTTAAGCTACAGTCCTCCCAGACCAAACAGCCATGCTGACTATATCATTCTCTGGGGTAACTTTAGATGATGTGGGGAATTGCCATGAAAACTGGAGAAGCCTGTCCCTACTCCGAGCCTAATCAGGGGAGTAGTAATAATCTTGCTTAACCTCATGGTCCAATAAGTGGTACTGGAGTAGACAAAGACTGTAAGCTCTTCAAGGCATATAGCTTTACGCATAACGAGGCCCTAATTCTGCTTGGAGTTTCTGGCTGTTACTGCAATACAATAATGAAGGTAGCAAGTCCCGGACTACCTCCAGTTATCTCCCTATTTCTCCTGGGTAAGTGGGTTAAAACTTGAGCCTTTCTCCAAAGCTCAACCTGCCCTCTGACACCCAGTGTCATCATTTACCACTTTAATACACTCATTTTCCAAAAGAATACGTGAAGAAATTCAGCTTGCTTGATTTCCTACTCCCCATTGTCACCTACCACTCAAGGAAGCGTGAAAGACTTAGGCAGTAGCACTTTTAAATAAAGGTGTAATTTTCCTCAAAAAAAGCCCCAAAAAACCAAGGAAGGGGAAGACTGGTACGAGGGATCTTCCACATATTTATCAGCTCATCACTACTAGGTTGTAAGGCCACAGCAACTCTATTCCTATAAGAATCTACTCCCTAATGCCTATCAGTCTTGGCCCCTGGATTCCCAGCTGATCCCTATCAAAGCTTGCTCTTAGCCAATCAGACAAAATGAGGGAATGTTGTATCCCTCAGAGCTCCAATTCAATCATGTCTCCATGCTTTATATAGGCACCATTGATGGGTGTCTAAGTTTGTGGGATCAGTCAGTCTTCTGTACACTAGCTGGAGTTGCATCAGCAATAGTAGCCAAATAAATAAGATTTCTGTGCAAGATATGCTGGTACCTATGAGAGAAAAAAGTTTGGAAAATTCAAAAGGGAACAAGACTTGATAGTTGTATTCCCTACAATAGAGAGATCAGGGTAGGCTGTGCCTAGACAGAATTGTAGTCATCATGCATATTTACAATTAATAAATGCCATCTTAGGTCATCTACTAAACACCCAAAATGGAAAAACTCACTCTTGGGAAATAATTAAGCCCTTTCCCTCCTCCTATCTTATTTTCTTTCTCCTACACCCAACTCCCCATATACCCTCTCCAACTCACTTTCATCCTAAAGATGAGACTTACATGGCTTATTTTTCAGCTGATGATGCAATATCTTGATGTGGTAACTGAACAAGGCTTATTTTAAGCCAAAAACTTTCTATAAAACATTTTCTGACATTTCAGTGTGTTGGGCATCTAAACTAGTACCTTTTCTATACGTGCACCACAGTGACTGAATTTTGGAATAAGTTTACTTACTGCACACATTCTGTAGCTCTTCCTTTATTTTGATATTCTACAATGCATCGAATCAGCTGATCGTTTTCCTCTAGTAACTAAAATAAACACAAGTTAGGGCTTTGCTTCTGCTACAGGTGCTTGAAATCTTGTTAGAAGTTGTTTATAGCAACTGCAAAAATTCCCTTCTGTTAGCTGGTTCTGCCTGTTTTATGATAATTGGGCTGAAAATATTTTCCTGCACCTTTCTCATGTTTAGGTATGCAGGCTGTGGTTTATTTGTAGTAGAGTAAGGCCTAGAACAGCATTTCTCAAATGCAGCCACCAGGAGTTTTCCCTGTGGCCATGACAGCCTCCTTGGCACAGATGGGAGAGAGGGGCAAAGCAGCACCCCTTCCTGCAGCACCTAGGGGGCAGGCTTCAGCTGGGGGACTCCTGGGGCAGGCTTCAGCCCCCCTCTCCTGATTCAGCCAGAGGTTCCAGGAGTGGGCTTCACCCTCCCCACCTTCAGCTGCAGGTTTCAGTCTCCCCACCAGCTTCAGCTGCATGGCTCCAGCCCCCCAGGGTGGTGTGGCTCTGGGCTTCGCCCCTCCTCCCCACCCCAGATCCAGCCATGGGGTTGGGGTTCTGGCTCTGGCCAGCAGGGCTGGCCTTACCAGGCACTATGGTTAGGAGATAGGAAGTGGTGTGAACCTTGGGTGTGCTCAGGGCAATGGGATGGGGGTGGGGAGAAGAGAAGCAACAAGGCCTTGGGGAGAGGCAGCGGGACCCAGGGGAGGCAGCAGGGGCCAAGGGCACCAAAATACAACTGTTCATTCCATAGGCACAGGAACTAGGGCCATGGGGGGTGCTGCAGCACTCTCAGGTTTTATGCAGAGTCCAGGGTCCTAGCTCCTGGCCCCGCAGGCAGGGGTCCTGTCTGACAGCCTGACCCCAGCTGTGGCCCCAGCCTCAGCCAGCTTACCCCTGTCCATGCCCCCGCCCCCATCCCAGAGCCATGCCCCTGCTCCCAGCCCCAGCTCTAGGAGGCAGGTGTGAACAGGGGCAAGGGGAACAAGGTAAAAAGGCTTTGCAGTTTCACTGGCTTTCAGCATCTCCACTATAAAAAGTTTTCTAGCACCATTTGTATATTTTTGTTCAGTCTACCAAAAAAAACCCGACAAACAAATCACAAGGATTTGGCCATGGATCTCTGCATATTTCTCTGTTTTCCCTAAAGTTAAGTGGTTTCAGACAGTTTATCCAAGTGGTCACCAGCAAAAGTTGGTGGCCACACTCTGAGGCCACTAAAAAAAAAGAGTCGAGACCCCGCCCGCCCGCACAAGCTGCAATAAGGCTCAAGGCTGCCAGGTGCTCGGCGCTGAACAGATACTGGCTCAAGGGGCAGGGCGGGAGGCCTGTATTCGGCGGGACGGCTGGCAAGTGTCTCGGGTACCGTAGGGTGCGTGGGGATGAGCCTTGCGCAGCTTCGCGGTGCGACCCATGGTACCGGCGTGGGTGAACCGCCCGCGCGCCGCTCGCGCATTGCAGTGATTCGGCGGGAGCCGAGCCGCGCCGCGGCCAGGCTGCGCGGAGGGAGACGCGGGCTCCGTGACCAGAAGCCGGGAACGGGGAAGGGAGCGTCCCCCACGGCCCCGCACACAGGGGAGTCAAGGGAGGACCCGGGGACTCGAGGGGCTGTGGCGGGGCCGGGCAGACTCACCCGCTGCAGGGTCTCTGGATTCACCTCCGCTTTCCCGCGCAGCCGCTCCGGCACGAAAACCACCGACATGGCCCGGACCCCGCAGCTACGGTCCGGCCTTTCTCCCCGCCACAGGCTCCGCTTAGCTCCGCCCACAGGTCGCTACCCCTACCTGCAGCCCCAAGGGGGGGGGGTGAGGAAAGCAACGTTGTAAACAAAAACTCTATTGCCGCCTCTCCCCCTCTAGGGGATTGGTTCCATCCGCACCGGAACTCTCCCAGATTCATCCCGCCCCACGGGCTGCAGCGCGGCCGCCGCTACTGCGGGGGATGGGGCGCTACTGCTAGAGCCACACAGCGGGGGGGGAGGAGGCGGCTGACTCCCGCTGGGGACAGGACCCTGGAGCCCCCCCCCATGCAAGCCGGGGACTCGACGGGCTGGGGCGGCACAGACCGGCTCACCGACTGCCGGGTCTCTGGAGTCACTTCCAAACCGCCGGCAGTTACCGGTCCGGCCTTTCTCCCCGCGCAAGGGCAGCTGGGAATCACGCCCGGCCAGCCCCAGTCCTTCCCCCGGCGGATTCTGATTGGCTCCGCCCAGGTCGCTACCACCCTGCAGCCCCAAACGGGGATAGGATCCACCCCAGCCGGGTTTCTCCCGGTCCTCCCTCTGCATAGGCTACAGCCGGCCCCCGCCACTGCGCCGGGGGGGGGGGTAGCAATGGTGGGGTGCTAAGTGGTAGGGGCCCCTGGGCCCCGCTTTGCGCCTAGCTCCGCGGGGACGCTCCCCCAGCCGCTCCTGGCGAAGCCCCCCGGCTCCGTACGAAGTATCCGCAAGAGCCCGCCATAGCTGCGGTTGGGGAACGCAGCTGGGCGGGGAGAGCTGAGTTCACAACACATCTGTGCTCCCTCGGCAGGATGGGGAGGAGCTTCTGGCCCCGCTGGGCGAGGGGGGTTGGAGACCGGGGTTCAAAGCTGCTCAGGGAGTTGAGGATCTAAATTTTGAATTTAGGCACCTCAGGTGCCAGTTAAGTAGCTAAATGCCTTTGCAGATGTAGCCCGTGGCTGTTTCCACACTTCACGGCAAGTAGGCCCCTGCTCACCTCTGCCAATGCAGATAGAAAGCCAGGACTGACTAGGGCAAGGGGAGCTTAGGGTTGGTGGTGTGCCAGTCACTGCAGTGCAGAGACACAGAGCCCAATACCTATTATAAGTAAGCCTGATATTGCACAACTGTGAGTATGGTGATTATTAGATCTAATCACTCCTGTTTCTGCTAGAAAGTCCCCTACTTGAAGGAAGTTCTTCTCCCTTAAATTTCCAGCAGGTTCTCTCTTTAACATAGGTAATCTCAGCTGTATTAACTAGTTAGGTTCAAATCACTTGCTTTACTGTAAAGGGCAAAACTGTAACAGAAAAAACTTGGAGTTAGAAGGTAAAAAACAAGCAAGAGTTGTTTTGAATCCTCATCCCTTTGCGCTCTCAGTCTGATAAGCTCAAACCCACTTCCTCCATCATTAGTGATAAGGCTCAAAACTAACTCAGTTGGGATTGAGCACCAGTACAAGTGGAATTAACACACATAGCACTACCCCTCCCTCACATTTCTATTCTTTACAAATGCAGATTCAATTTTCAAGTGGAAAAATGACTTTTTATGAATACTTACATCTTCCACTCATAAGGGAGGACCTGCACAAGTCTAAAACTAATACAGCTTTCAGCATAAGAAAACTGCACTGCAGTAAGGTGTGAACTCTTAACTGTTATTTGCTGCAGCAGCTGTAACCCCTTTCTGTTTTCAAACTTCTGGCTAGAAATGTTAAAGTCTAATTCATACTACCCTCCAAAATTTAGACTGTAAAGGGGTATTAAATCAGTTCCCCCCTCCCATAGTTTGGCCACATGTATTATTGCAGTGCCCAAGAGTAATATGAATTAGTGAAATTTCATTTGTGCATTTTTAGAATATTTCTACATTGCAGATTTGTGTTTTTTTTTCCCTAAACACAATCAGCTGGTACATTATTCAGTGAAGTTGTGTTGCGTAATTTCAGGCTGTCATCGCACAAAGATCAGGTCAGCAAGTGGAACAATATTGGAGAAGTAACTGCAATGTGAATACAAGAGGGGTTTGAAAGCGAGAAGGGAAGTAGTATTTCACAATTAGCTACATAAAAGATATCTAGCATCCACAACTGAATTCCAAAGCATCTGTAATGGTTAAGAACCACTAGGAGAAATCATCAACTGAATTTTGTCTTGTAGAGTATGGAAACACTCTCATATGGGGAGTAGTAGACTCCACAGGATGAGAAGAGGGAAAAGATGGCTGTAAGGCAAGCCCTTCTTAGGAAGCAAATTGCAGGGTATTTTGGTATCTAGATCTAATGAGTTCTGGGAGTCCGGAATGTGCCTTGACATCCAGGCCTTTTTAATCTCACATGACCGCCCAGCAATAATAAAATATATATAACTCAGCCCACCACAAGCATTTAATCATCAAACTAACTCACCCACTGAGCAAATCAGAAGCAAGGGAAAAGCTTCTTTTCATTTGACACCCCATCTGGAAACACCTTCATCCTCCCACAGCCAGCCAAATAAAAAGCTTTTGCAGCATGACAAAGTGATCACCAAGTTCTGCTTATTCCAGATAAGGGAAAGTGGAGAGAGAGTGACAGTAGAAGCTAGCAGTCCCATTATTCTAGGCACCATAGAAAATGTCAGCAATCTAGCTTGAGGAAGAGATGCACCAGGTCAGTGAAACACAGTTAGGGTGCCTGTATTGTTGCTACATTTTCAGAAAGCTGTGCACCTACTAACCACCTGCCTAATTCTTATCAATTGGCAGTAGTCTGCAGGCATCACAACAAGAGTCTTTAAGAAGGACATGAACTGACATAAGTTAGGGGCTTTAGAAATTTGATTCTGGGGAGCTCATCATTTATAAGGAGTAGCATGGTAGAAAAATATAGCCCTACCCTGAAAAGTCAATAATATTCTGCTGTGTGGTGCTCCTAGCAAACAGATTTACACACACACACACACTCTCTCTCTCTCTCCCCCCCCCCCCCCCCCATCTTTCACATCCACAAACTCACCCTGGTTTTGACATTCAGGCTGTTTCTTTCATACAGCACCCATAATAAAAATTTTATAGCTTGAATTATTCTCTGTATCTGTGCAATACCATTGTGTTCAATTTATTAACTTGATGCTAATGGGATTATACTGGTAACCTGAGGGGCCCAGGAGGCCCTGACTTGCTTTGGAAAGAAAAAGAAGGGAAGGCCCAGAGTAGCAGAGTTTATCTTAAAAGATGGAGCCACTGATGCAGAGAATGACTGTCCATGTGGACAGCCTGAACAGGGAGTGGGTTAATAGATGCTGGTCTGGAGCAGCACTGAATCTCTAGCTGGCACTGACTGCTGGGCCCCAAGTGGAAGCAACCACAGGAGGGTAAGCTTCCCTTCTTTCACACATGTTCTTCCTGTAGCTTGCTTAAAAGAACTGTAAAAACAAGACTTTTTTCTTATTTTGTTTTTCCCTCTCCTTAGTATTGCCTTTGTTTGTCTACATTGTCCCTTTGCTTGAAAAGGAAGAAAGCAGAAAACAGGATTAGACGGAACAGAGGAGCCTGAGGTAGTTGCTGCTACCCTGCTTCCATTATGAAGGGGGAAGAGCGCAGTTCTTCTGTACATCTGCTTGGGAAAACAGATTATTAATCTGTTCCTCCTACTCCAGTCTTACTAGAACTAGAAAGAATTTTCAGAAAGACTGATTTTATTGAACTGTTTATTCTGGCTTAAAATAAAAACCTTACTTTCATGTAGCAAAGTACACTGAAGGTATGCCATGCTGCTAGTTACTGGGGTACAAAACACCCCAATTAGTAACCCAAACGAGTGGGGGAAGATGCATCAACAAAGACCTTCACAGCATGAATCATTGGTAATATTTACAATTTCTCTTGTTTAAATAAGCCTGGGACACCTCATACAGTATACATGGTTATTGCAACAGTACAGCACTTGCCTTTATGTTCAAAAACCTCAGAAGTTGTTCAGGATCATGATTTGTGGTTCCCAAAAAGGCATTGTTGATAACATGCAAAAAACATTACTAAACAATATTATCTAACTTCTACGGCTGCCAATACTGGACCTTAATAAGGAAACCAATTACAAAATACTTCCTTGTAGTGCTATACAAAAAGATATAAAATTAAGATAAGATTCTATCAACCACTTTTAAATATTCCAATTTTCCAACAGTGCAGTTTTCCACATCTTTATCACCACTGAACATTTTGAGGATAAAGTTAACAAAAATGAGCAAATCAGATCAAAAAATTTTAATCTTTGGATCCCTTTATTCCTGTGGCCTTCATATACATATACAAATGCAAATTACCAGATTCCTTTTTCAATTATAACTTAAACATATCAAAAAGTTGTAACTAGTCATTTAGAATTGACAAAAAAATCCATACCAAGTCATTTGTGGGTTCACTGGTCTAACAACCAGAATTTTTAATGTCTCCAAGCTAGAGTCTATCAAAATGCAAACAACTTCAAACACTAAGAATTCTCTTTAAATTGATTATGTCTACTGGTATTACAACAAAGTTAACATTTCAAGAATTGACACATGGAGGCATATTTTCATCCCAAGCATTTTAGAAGGAGCATATTAACTCATATGCCTGGTCCATTTTTTAAAAAGTGAATAAGTAAAATTAATTGCAAGTTCTGACATATAACAAAATGTTTTATTTTTGTTCTTATTTGAAAAATCTTAATTTGGTCAAATCCTGTGATATGCCAGACATTACAAAATGAAGTTCTTGCAAGAAAGAAGAGTATCCAGTTTTGTATAATGGAAGAACATTTTCAAATCTTCATTATAATCCAAATGTAAAAATCAAACAAATTTAAAGCCTGAAAAGCTACTAAGAAAACAAACTAACTCAGTGTTCTTTAGCATATCAACTTTTGCAATAACATAGTATGTTTGGTGACTTAAAAATGTTTATTCTTTAAAAAATTAGTTGCTTTTTATACAGCTATACAAAGTTTGTAATGTTTCTTTGGCAATGGGATATAATGGAATTTTACAACTATATAAAAAGTTTCCTTTGCCTAAGAAACAATATTTACTGTGTGTACATATTTGTCTGGCAAAGCAAGTTTTCTACTGTCCAGCACCCTAGTTGACAAAGTACAACTATCTCAAAAGGGATATTACAGGATTTCCAAAAAACAACCTTCAGTGGATCAAAACACTCACAGTATCGACGGCCTTCTGCATACAATTGTCCTTGTAACTTGCAGCAATTATTAAATACAGTTTAGTAATAAGAAAAATCCTTTCAGTGATGAAAAAATACTTAAATTCCATCGAAGTACTGCTTTATAGCTAACTATACATAAGAAATTACTTACCCTTCTATCTCAAATATATTTAATGCTCCTTGTTTTCAAAGATGGCCATTTTTCAAAAAGTAACTGCATTACCCCCCTTTGAAATTAAATAGTTAAATCCCAG